TAGGCTGGTAACCCTTCGAGAAAAATTCATGCATTGAAACCCTTGTGAATTTTCTTTAACTAATTGTCATTCCTCAACGCTTTACTGATATTTTTTTAATTTTTATAGCAGGTGCCAGCTATATATATGTTAGTTTCTAGCATAGATAGATAGATAGATTACAGTAGAGGTATGCACCGCGATCTAGTTTCTGGCACACTGATAGCGTTTCATTTAAACAGAATTTCGCTTAGTGAAAAATTCTTGATAAAAAAAGTGTGTTGCAAATTTGAAATTTTGTGAATTTTTTTTTGATTTGAGGTTAAATATTTCTTCCACACATTTTTGATTTTCAAAATTGTATTTATACTTTGAATTTGTTAAATTGTGTTTCCCAGCAATCAAACCTATATATGCTTTAAGTATTAGCACGCGATTTTTCTTTAAACTCCCAGCGAAACTTATTTCCAATTTACATATGCATTCCTTCAATATTCGTTGCATGCCACATGCATTAGTAAAAATTACAAAAATGAGATGTAATTATTAAATAGAAAAAAAAAATTATTTAAATTACATATTCAAAAACTCAAATCTTCTCTTTATACATATATTTAATCTTTATTGTTGCAAATAACATTGTTGCTGTAAACCAATTTCCTGTAAACGCGTTTGCTTTGGTCAGGCCGCGCGTTTACCGGCACCGCCATCTGATTCACACCAAACGAAAGGGTTAAGAGTTGTAATTACTATGCTACTACTCTTTTGACCACAGAAAACTGCTTTTAATAAAAAAAAACAACTATATATGAGCAAAAAGATAGAAAACTTTTTATTCTTCGCCATACCATGCACGCAGTGTGGTTCGTACGCGGAAGTGTATGTATGTATGTGTGTAGGCGAAGCACTTAACCTTTTGAAGTGCTCTTATAGTACTTACACTTATATCGTAATTGTGTTATGGGAAACAGCAATTAGCCTTGCAATAACAATAACCGAACCATTCAGTTTACCTATACATACATATTTGTACATATACATACATGTGCATGTTTGTATAAGCACTTGAACTAAAATCAAACTTACAAGTTTTCACTGAATATACATCTAGAGAGCACGATATCTATTTGTAAAATTTCGGGATTCGGAAACCCTATATCGGGATCCCAAAATTTTCGGGATTGTAATTTTACGTTGTTATATTTTTATTATTAATTTAAGTGTAACATTTCGCTAAAGAGTGGATTGGTAAAACAAAAATAATAATCTCGCAGATGTAAAAACTGATATATTAATAATTTTGGTGTTTTTTCTTTCAGCCTATACTCATACAGGCGAAAGTAAACTATTTTATACACGTAGTATTTCTTAAATTTTAAGTTGCTCTCAAGATTACTGAACGATTAGTCTGAATTAAACTATAATTAAAAATAAAGCTAAATCATTACGAATCCGAAAATGTTGTTACGTGAAATAGCTTGATCCTTAATTAAATACATAAAACTTGGTTTGATTTATGTGAATAACGTATTTGCGACGACAAAAATTCAGAATCCCGAAATCCAAATCCTATAAATCGGGATCCCGAAACCCAATGTCGTCTTAAACTCAAACTTTTGCATTATTTTTAAGCTTTATTTGTATTTTTTAACACAGAAAACGAAAATATTTAATGATGTTTCTCCAAAGAATTTCTGCAAATTCTATTAAAATGTTTCAAAATGCTTGAACTACCTTGATGTCCTGTACTCAAAAAGAAAAGCAATCACAGCAAACTTTAAAGCTCTATTAAGCGCTTCCTGCAATTTCAGTGAGCCAGTATATGCGTAATCAACACCTGCACTAACTAAAACATAAAATATTATTTGCGGTGAAATATAAAAGAAATTAATTTACAATATTTCCGTTCAAGTGCAATTGTCGGTGTAATTAAAATTTTGCGGTTTGTATAAATGATCCGCTTGGAAATCGCTGTGGTTTTCTATTACCCAGAAATGGCAGAAACAATACAAGTGTTGCAAAACAATAACAAGGGTAATGCTTACAGCAAATTATACAGCTACTTTCGCCACCTTTAACAACACCACTCGCCCTTCTCCACTCCTAACTATTTCTATTGTTATTATTGCGGTTTCGGTTGGCCTGTCGAAGTAACACTGACGCACTCTTGCTTAAATAAGTACGAGATCACAAGTAGCACTGTGTACCTGTGGTCGTTTTGCGGTTGTGTTAAATTCACTGACTCCATTTAAAGCTTTTTGTTGCTGTTGGGTACTTTTAGTTTTGGTGTTGGCGTTGCAACTTGAGTTAATTGACGTAGCCGATGAAATGAATGCGTATAACTGCAAATTATTAGTGTTTTTTGTTTTGTTTTCACTTTTTGATCTGGAAAATTCGAGTAACTGCATAATTGTGTAGGTGCTTGTGAAAATTTTGTTTATGCGTTTCGATATTTTGCAATTACGCTCTTTGTAATTTTGTATGAAGTGGTAAATTTCGGCGCAAGTTTCCAATTAGTCGAATGTAGCTTATACCAAGTCAGTAAATGGCCTAATTGTGTTTGGAAACGGCTTTGGTGAAATTGTAGGGTAAGGCAACTAAATTGCTTAAATGCTTCGTATATATAGCGGATTATAAATTAAGCGTTAACTAGTTTTAGGAGAACAATTTAACTCCAAATGTACATGTACGCTTTGTACCTATGTGGGTGTGTGACTTCGCTAAATCATGCCTAATGTAGCAATATTTAGCGATAATTCTGAAAATTTTAATCACTATGTGCCTTAATGTGGACAACATTTTGTCGCTTATCAGAAAATCGGAAATTATAATTATTTTGAGGAATATATTGGTTTAGCGGTAAACCTAAAAATTAATAATATAAGTTGTAAATAAACTGCAAAAGATATGCTTTTAATTAACTATTTAATTCGTATATTTATTAAATAGTTTTGGCGTGCTTTTTTTAAGCTTTAAAGTTTTCTTCTGAAAACGCTTAACATATACACAAAACTAATTTTATGTTCAGGGTATAGGATACGGTACTAAGTTTGCAACGAAGTTTGTAGTACTCAGAAGGATACGACGGAGACCCCATAAAGTGCATACAAGTATGTACCTAAATAAGCAGATCGACGAGCTAAGTCAATTTAGCAATGTCCGCCTATCGGTCTCTCATATAATACACACAGGCGAACTAGTCCCTCGTTATTGAGATATCGGTGTACCATTTTCCAAACGTCCTTTCCTCCGCAAGAAGCTGCTCCTTTGTGGAACCGCTGTTATCTGACCATATCATATGAGGCATATCCATGCACACAAACTGATCCAATGAAATCAAGTTATTAAATGACTAACTTTTTCAATTTACAGGATATCTTTACGAAATTTGGCATTGATTATTTTTCAAAGCAGCGGAACAATTATCGAATAAATTGTTCAGATCGGACCACTATAACTCGTAGCTGTTATACAAACTGAACAATCGGACCAAAGCAATGATGTAATCTCCAGCTAAATTGTTCAGGTGGGATCACTACAGCATACAAACTGACTGATCAAAATCGTGTTCTGGTAAGGAAATTTTTGTATATATCAAGGGTGTGATATTATAGGCGATAAGTGTGCTCACTTTCCATTTTCACCTCAATGTAAGCAGCTGAACATCAAAAAAAATAAATTAGAAATGCAAATAATTTCGCTATTTACCTTTGCACTAATTTAGATAAATAATTATATGCACACGAATAAATCGCATTTGAATGATGATAGATACAAGCATATGTAAACCTGAAAAAATCGACAAATTAGTTCGCGCAGAAAACAGCAACAAATTTATATTCTGCTACTAACGAATTTTATCAACTAATTTAACTAATTGCATTATTTGCTTTATTGCCTGCCTACAAAAGCCATATACACAACCAAAACACAATGGACATGGCGTATGAGTGATATTATAATTAAATGTACCAAAATTACACGCGCGGTATTGTTCGTGCGCATACGAGTGAATACTTCACTCTTCCGTTTCGGCAATTATAGTTTATTGCATTGACAGAAATATGAATAGGCATATGTGGATAACATATGTATATTGTGCGCGCGCATGTAAATAGGGAAATTTGTGAAATAGTTGCATGTAAGTACACAGACATAAATTTAATGTATACACGCATCATTAAATACAAAATAATGACATTAGCGCGAAATTTTAGAATTTTAATTACAATTTGACATGACGCTTGCTACTATTGCTGGTATGTAGGGAATGCGGCTGTGAGTAGAAATAATAATTTTATGTAAGTACTTTGCTGTTTTCCGGTATGCCCTACCATTTTATATAGCGGCATAGAGAGCTTAGTGTTGCAAGTAGCGCATAACAACAATGCTGGGTTTTATTTGCAAACATATGCACGATGTTTTGAATATGCATTTTGGCCTTTATAACTGTTAATTATTCAAAATGGCAAGCTGCGTATGTAGAGCAGAACTAAAACTTTGATTTTATTACAAACAGGCGTCCACCGGTACTAACACATTTTTTTTTATAAGCGCGAACATGTTTATAGTTTCTATACGCTTTATATAGCACAGATATGTGTTATTTGTATTTCTATGCAGCATTTCATTATTTCAGTTACATTTTTAATTCCATCAATTATATTGATGTTCTTGTTGAGAGTAGTTGTTTCGCCCCAAATTGATCGATGTAATAACGTTTAATAGCTTTCAGTGCAAAAATAGTCGCCTAGGGTGTGAACTAGGTCACGCAGTTCAATTTATTTATTAAAATACTTCTAATGAGAGTTTGAAAAGGTTGGGTTAAGCGTTTAACACGCAGCGGTAAGGGTGCATGTGAAGCATCACATACATAAATACATACCCACCAGCAAAATTATCAAATTCAGTCGTTCAGCGCGTTTAGCGCAGCAGAGCAAGCAATTCCGAATCACCACTAAAATTTCGTTCCTTTATTGTATTAATATCTTGTTACTGTGTATTTCTCAACTATATACTTTAAACAATTTTAGTATAAGAGACTGCTTGTGCCTGAACAAAGCATATACCGGAGCGAGGCTTAGCCATTGCACTTCGCCTGAGTGGACTCTTCGATTATTTATAATGCGAATAAGTCGTAGGCGTATTTTTTGGTAGCGAAGAATGGCATTCGTGTCATCCTGACATATAAATTGTAATGTACACTTTCTGTGGTTTTGAAAGAAGTTGTTCAACTTTGTTTAACTAAAGAAATTAGTGCAGTATACCAAATCTATTGATTTTTATATAAAAGTAAACAATATTTTAAGAAAAACCTAAAAAATTTAATTAACAAACACAAGATTCATATTCATACACCCTTAATTGAAACATATGTGAATGACAAAATTAAAATTGGTATTTAGTGGGATATCCTTTATCTTTAGACAACTGCACGGCTTTACGGCAGCAGGCTTGTAGTTGTCGCAGTCGCTAAATTGAAACCATTTCTATTTTTCTACGACAACGGGCAGCTGTGGTGTTATCGCTAATATGTGAAATGGAAAATTATTCACAGCAAGAATCAGAAGACAAAATCAATCCCAACGATAACAATAGTGAGATATTTTATATCTAATAGCTATTTATCTACCACCAAATGCTTCAATGAGGAATATCAAATTATTCATCGGAAACTATCTAGGAAAACGCGTAGAATGTTGTGAAAAGCCGGCAATTATTTCGGGTGATTTTTTTTTATGTTTCTTTGTCAGAAGCTGTGCCATTACTACAACTCCTCAAAGATAAATTCTCTTTAGAAATGATAAAGTTAGGAGTAACCCAAAGGCAAAAGGGGCTCCACTATTGATGCAGTTTTCGCCAGAAAATTAATAAAATAGAACTAAAACATTTATGTTTTATTTTAGCTAGCATAATCTACTTGCAATTGTTATAACTATGAATACTGCGCCCGCTGAAAGTGAGAATTGAATTGAAAAATTTGTTTGTAGAAAAAAAATTAAAATTTATGTTTGCAAAAAATATGTGTTAAATAATTGAGATTTCTTTGTGGATTGACTGATATTTTCGGTAGAAGGTCAACTATAGGCACTGGGGTCCACATATTTAGTACTTAGGGGCTTGAACAGTTTTGGTTCGATTTAGACAATTTTTGGCCGCAAGGTGGCATACTTTAATTGAATTATTCACCCAAAGTTTTACCCCGATATAATCATTGTTACCTGATTTGCATAGTGGAAAGTGAAAGAATCAGATGGAATTGAAAATGGTGTTACATGGGAAGTAAGCGTGGTTGTAGTCCGATTTCGCCCATTTTCGCACTATAACATAGAAACATGAAAATAACGTTATGCACCGAATTTGGTTGAAATCGGTTGAGCAGATCTCAAGATATGGGTTTTCACCTAAAAGTGGGCTGGGCCACGCCCACTGACTAATTTTGAACGCGGTTCCTATAAAGCCAATTTATACCATATCAGAGATAAAATTTAATGTCTCTGGCGTCTTTAGTGCTTGATTTATGGCGCTTTTAGTAGTTTTTAACAGTACCGTTATATGGGGAGTGGGCGGAGTTGCCACCCGATTTCAACTATTTTCACACCGTCCATAGAAGTGCTAAAAACATTTCTTCCAGTGAATTTTGTTATTATAGCATTAGCGGTTTAGGAGATATGCATATTAAACCTATATAGAGGCGGGACACGCCCATTTACAAAATTTTAACTGCAGATGCCTCTCCCTAATGTGATCCTGTGTACCAAATAACATTGCGGAGCTTAGTTATGGCAATTTATTTGTTTTGATTAATGGCGTTTTGTGCAATACCAACCGTCTCATGATACCAAGAAACATGTCTACCAAGTTTCATAAAGATATCTCAATTTTTACTCAAGTTACAGCTTGCACGGACGGACGGACGGACAGTCACCCGGATTTCAACTCGTCTCTTCATCCTGATCATATATATATATATATAATATGTGTATATAACCCTATATCTAACTCGATTAGTTTTAGGTGATACAAACAACCGTTAGGTGAACAAAACTATTATACTCTGTAGCACAGGTTGCGAGAGTATAAATATATATTATATACACAATATTTTTTCACTAGAACCCTGCCAATACGCTAGTTACAATTTGATCTCAGTGGCTCGATAGATGCTAGCGAATATCCGAGCATATATTTTCAAAGTTCCGAAATTTTCTCCAAAAATGTAGGGCTTCGATATAGACTGCACTTAATATAAAGACTAGTCAATCGTTTTCTATTCTCAAGAAAAAAAAAACGTCTTCTATAAGTAGACTCATGGCGACCTATCAAAGATATTGAAAATAAGACTTTTGTTTCATTTTCTTTGGCAGACAATTCTTCTAAGACCCGTGTATAATTGCAAATGGTTAAGAATTGACACACTATTCTACAAGCTGTCAGACATCCTTAAAGACACCAAAACATATTTGGGCCATTTTTAATTATACTTTAATCTAAATATGTTGAAAACAAGATATTTCAAGGTGAAGATTTTTAAATGAAAAATTTGCAAACCAACTTTTTATTATGTGGAAAGTAGTTATCAAAACAACGTACATTTCAGAACTCATTCAAACCTAAGTTTGGATCAGAAAAGCTCAAACAAATTACTTAAGCATTTATATAATTTTTAAAAACTCTGTCTTGTTTGACGGTGAAGGTTAGACTACAAAAAATTATTGAAATGCGCTTTCATTTAATCGGAATGAATCGGTAATTTATGCCCATCCAATCAAGCAAACCTCTTATTAATCAATATTTTTAATATCATCACATTCAAAATTCTAAAGGCGACAGATAGAAGGCTTAAAAAAATTTTAATCGATTTGACACGAAGCAAACGAAGAACAGCATTCATTAATTAAGCCCTTTAGAAAAGTTTTTGCGTTTCTCAATTTAAAATCGTCGTTTAAGTAAGAAGCGAACACCCGCAGTAATTAAACTTATGTCATAAGTCAAATGCCAAGGCAGCACAAAGCCGCCTAAAAACGAGTATAGAAATGAAAAGCAACAGCAATTATCACTAATCATTTGAATTTTCTTTCGCACACTCATTCACTCGCTTTTATATACATATATGCATGAGTATAATTTTGAATTTATCGCTTGTGTTGCTCATTCCATGTTTTTCCATTTTGTTCGCTGGCATTGGAATCTCGGCTTGAAGGCGCCAAAGCCGAGCCAACGTTAGCGCAGCCAATGATTTATGAGCTGTCAGTCAACGAGGCTGGCGAAAGGCTTGCGAACTGACACTCGCGAGCAGATAGCAGCAGCTGAACACAAGAGAGCGGAAATCAGCAGCGATGCTGTGAGTGGGAAACTGGTTTTCATACATTTAAAAAACATGAATTCGAATTAAATGTTTAACACGCTTTCACAAATCTTTGCTTAAGTAATTGGTAATGTCAAGGGAAGTAAAGTACACACATATTTGGGTAGACTTAACTACACTCTACATTTGTGAAGGAAGTGTGTTGTTGGTGAACCGTGTTTGAGTTAATGTGCGGGAGGGATTACTATTAATGACTCTGTGCTGCTAAAAGTGATGAGCTAATATTCAAATATGCATGAAGATAAAGAATCAACTCAAAAGTAATAAATAGATGAACAATTTTGTATGTGAAAACATTTTAATACCTTAAGTGAGTTAAGGGTTTACACTTTCAATTATGTCTTTAGATATTTATGCAAAAGCTTATAAGAAAGTGTAATAAAGGGGGGTGTTTAGTGCAAGTAGCTGGGGAAATTACCTCGACAGGAAGTTTTAATTTTAGACGATTGATGATAAAAAGTCAAGAACTATACAATTTTATATGGAACCCGCCTTCTCAGAATTTAAATTCGCATTATTTCGCTTTCTTAGAGGGTCTACTATAACATATATTACTGTTAAATTGCGTTTGCTTTTAAATTGCTTTGGGGTAGACTTTTTCTTTAACAAAAATTAACTATAAGGAAATAACTGGACACAAATGAGTGTTTTGTGTTGACTACAGAAAAAGATTAAGTGAATAAAGAAATCAAAGAAATTCTTACTCCAAGATATTCCCATATTTTACGATCATAAATATTTCAGCTGCGCTAAGTCGATTCCATCATTCAAGCGTTACAACTTTACTATAAATTAATCTTCTGCTATCCCCACTGGTTCAACTTCTCAACCCATAATTGGCTGCTTTTCACAAAAAAGGCGTCTGCAAGAGCGCAAAATATTTTCTCCCCTCCTTGCTCCTGCAACTTTTATAGTTAATTAAACTTTATACCGTTTCGATTGTCTTACTTTGATTTCGATACCCCCGCCTGCAGCACAGGCGCACCTTCGAGACCAAGCGTGTTTGATAACAGAGTTTCGACTGCTGTAACTGTGAGCCAGCAGAGGGGTGATATATTGAAGCGATTGCAATTACCTGAAAATCAATACTAGCAATCAGTGCAGCTGATGCTGGTTTGCTGTTATGTATAATTTTCGCTTATTTTTCTCCAGATATATGGAAACTTTTCGAGCACAACGTTGGAAAAGGAAATACGTTAGAAGGTGGCTCAGTGGATTTCGAGGTTAAAGCAGACAAGCTTCTGCTGTAACCACGGCAGTGTTTAGGTGCATGTGTGCTGATAAAAAACAGTTTTTCTAGCGTTATTTGAAGTGATAACTGTTAAAGTAGCCTCCAAAGTGATGCGGTGCGTTTAACGAAATTTTATTTTATTTTTACTTTTTCATTGCCGATTTCTCCCAGTTTCTTTTGCACCATTCAGTACCAATTAAGCAGCAATGCAGCTGTCTGCCAAGTAAATAATCACCACATTTCAACATTACCAGCGCTAAATACCTCATTTATTACGCTATTTTTGCACAAATTTTAATTGATCCCGTGCGGCGTGGGTTGGGCACTCAAACTACACAATCTTTTAATCACATTTTTGTGTATTTCTTGTTTTCGTGTGTTCTTATTGCCAGCGTCTGCTGATGCACAACAGCTCTTATCTCGTCCAGACGTCGTTTTGTGCAACGGTTTATTTCTAAACACAAGCTCTGGGCAGCTGAGCGAGTGCAAAGGTGCTGCACCTATGCACACACCCACACAAACATGGCTGTGCAGCGGTGGCAGATAATTGGTTAAATGAAGATACAAAAGAAAATACTTTTTGTGT